TTTATGTAAATTATACAAAATTACATTGATAATGTATATATCAAAGTTACATTTATATTCCAAAAACGTATAAATCACGTTTTTAATAATAAATATATTTTAATATATCAAATTTTCATATAGAAATTTATTTTTAAAATATAAAAACGTTTTTAACAATCCAAACTCACATTTTTCATATACAAAACCGTGATTAGTATACACAAAACCATTTTATAGTTTACTAAAAAAAAATTTCTAATAAACTTTTAATATAAAACAACAATCTAAACACTAAATTCATCACTAATTTCACAACTTTACAACCTAAATTCACCATTACCCAATCTAAACCACCTAATCTAACAAAATCACATTCATAAACCTATAGTATATCAAGTTATATATATGAAACAAACAATTTATTTAATAAAATATAAAAAAACTAACATATTTTCCAAAGAATCTAGAGAGAAGGGAGAGGAGAAACGTTTAAAGAGATAGAGTAAATTTATAGAATGAAGGAGAGAAGATCAGATCTGTATAATTTATTGAGATTTTTCTACGGATTTTCAACAGAAAGTGCCGTTGGAAATGAAATCCGTCAAAAATCCATCTACTTTCTAAAATTTACCGCGAAATTGAAATCATTCAAATAAATTTGGCCATTTTTCAAACATTTTCGCGGTCAAAATCCAAAATCAAAATCTTTCGGAAATATGTGGCAAATTTCCGATGGATTTCCCACGGCAATTATGTTAAAAAAAAAATATCAAGCCATTGGAAATTTGTTGGAAATTTCCCACAGATTTCTTAGGAATTAGGGTATATGGTATGCAAAATTGATGTAAACAACATCAAAATACATTATAATGAAATAATAATATCATCACCCAACTAAAACATGTTTAAATTTAATTTGTGTGTAATGTAGAAAACATATATGCATAAACTCACATCAAGAAAGAATCGGGTTCTACGTTTATCAATCGTCTTCTTCCAAATTGGCGTTAAGAAGATAAGATAACTTCATTACCAATGAAGCAGGTCGTATTCTGGTCTTTTGGGACCCTTCCCTCTCTGTTGTAACTTACACAAATCTGATCAGATGATCGTGTGTGGTGTTTTTGTTCCTCAATTGCAACACTACTTCACTGTTTCATTCATCTACGCTTTCAATTGTCACATTAAACGCAAGTTACTTTGGCAAGAGCATGATGATCTTAGAGACTCTTCCCCCATCTCTTCCCGTCCATGGATCCTTGTTGGAGACATTAACCAAATCCTCAGTCAACACGAGCACTCGTCAATTCCCCAAACTCTCGCCCCTACTACCGGCATGCAGGAGATGCAGAGTTGTTTTGAATACCTCGATATTCAAGATATTAGTGTCCGATGTGCTCTTTACACTTGGAAAAACAACTGCCCTGAGAAGTTTGCGTGGAAAAACGCTTGCTTGTGGAAAATGTTGTTCGAGCAACAGAGATTCTCCACAACTCCCATAAGGCCACGTCTACTTAAAGCGGTTGTCTCAAAATTGATCTGGCTAAAGCCTTTGATAATATAAATGGGGTTTTCATCTTAAATTGCCTCACTACTCTTCGTTTTCCCTCCACTTTTGTAGGG